TTTTAAAGCCCCAGTGGGGTTTATTTGCTAATATTTTATTTTGGATTTTCATACATTGATTTTTATGTAAATGTCTTATCTTTTGTTTTAGAGAGAGGGTCTTCTCTGATGCCCAAGCTGGAGTGCAGCAATGTGATCACACTTTATTGTAATTTTAAACTCCTGGGCTCAAGTGATCCTTCCACCTCAGCCTCCTGGGTAGCTGACACTACAGGCACATGCCACCACGCCCTGCTAATTTTTAAATTTTTCATAGAGACAGAGCCTTGCTATGTTGTCTAGGCTGCAGTTCAGTATACAGTGTAGATGTGTATATTTATTGGTCTTTCTGCTGGAATCATTCCCTCTCCCATCTGTTTGTCTTTAAATTCTTGGCATGCACACACACTCCACCCGCACCCCCTAACTGCAAAATATTGATGTTGTCCAACCTGCTTTGTGAAGGGAGAACCATTTTTCCCTCTTTGTATCTCTGCTGGTGTCCAGTCCACTGCTGTGTTTTTGGTATATACTTAACCCACAGAGTGTGGGAGGCAGGAAGAGAAGGCTTCTGTATTTCCTTTGTGGACCCGACATCATGGATCCATTAAGCATATTGGGAAACCAGCAGGTCAGGTGGCTGCACATTCTAGTTGCATCTGACTCTGAATTGCTTAGGGCCCCCTACGTGCCAGTGAATTGCTTTTCTTTGTGAGTTGCCTCTTCACTTATACTCCTAGGTTGAGTTCCCCAAAACAGTGGCTAGCACAGCACCTGTAACAGTTGTGGGTGCATTTCTGATCTTGCATGACCTGATTTACAGGGTGTTTTGAACAGGAGCTACGTATTATGGCTTGGGATATGGCTAAAGTTTACTTGACTTTCTTTCATAAAGTAACTGGTAGAATATGTGGCATAAGGCTATTACTACAAAAGCAGAAGTGGTGGGGGGTGATTGAGCTTGGGCAGCATTGGGAGGCAGATAGGCCTGCATCGTCACTGTCCTGGCCATTTGTAGGTTATATGACCTTGGGGGAATCCACTCAACTCTCTGAGCCTTTGTTTCTTCCCTCATTAAGGAGATCATCCATTCCTCGTTGGACTATTTTAAGGCTTACGATCAGACATCTTTCAAGGCACTTGGAGCAGTGCCTGGGCTCTGGGGTCTTTAGGCTGTAACCATAGCAAACACTCAGATCCCAGCCACCCTCCCTTCTCTTCCCTCCAGCATGGGAATGTGGAGGACCAACCTGCTCATTCCCATTTACCCTGGAGTTCTTTCTTCTGAACTTCATCTAGCACCTGCCGTGCACCAGGGATTCATGGATGTGGAGGCCAGGGACAGCCAAGTCTGGGATCTGGCCTTCAGCTTGCCTCAGTCCCCGTGGCGGACACCTGGTCCTTTGCTTTGGAATCTGGACCCTGCAATCTACCCAAATGCTCAGCCCAAAGAGGGCTCCCTCTATCGGTGAGAAGATTGCATAACTGCCCACGTCTCCCCATCTCCTGAGTTGATGATCAGCCCCAGCAATCCAGAGACACATTCTTGGATTCTGCTAGGTTTATTCTTCAGTTGAAAACTCAAAGGAAAAGGTTATGTTCCAAAAGAAAGTAAAAAGAAAACAACTTTGAATGCTCTAGCCTGGGAGCCTGAGTTCACAGGTGCCCTACCAAAACAGAGGCCCTCGAAACCCTTCAGTCCCTGTGTGTCTACCCCAGAGAACAGCTCTCTATCAGGCTTCTGAAGAGCTATCAGTTCCCCTCAAAGAAGCTCCTGCCTCAGGAGATCCCTGGGTCAGGCAGGGAAAGCTAGGACCAGGGAGCTGAGAACCTGACTTCGTGTCCCCCTGCACACAGTCAGCATTCTGAAGCGGTGGCTTCCCACATGGCTGTTGAATAAGTTAATAAATACCTTGAGCATGAACAGAAGCCGATAGAGCTCTCTCTGCAGGGCTGGGACTCGCAGGCCATGCTGTCTCTTGGTTTACAGTGGAGATGTGGAGGAAGGGGGAGAATTACCCAGACCAGTGGGAGAGTTTCATGTCCTCAGAAGCATTTTGAGTGCAATGACAAACAGCTCTTCTTCCTGCATTTGAAGCACGTGTGGCTCTGAGTTTCCCGGTGTTCCATGCTGGTTACTCTGTCCCTGCCAAGAATCTTGCCCTTGTCAAGAAGCTGGAATTAGAGTAGAAGGTGAAGGAGTTTGAAGTCTTTGGCAGCCTAGTGCTGGCTTAGATGAAATCTTAAACTGAAAAGAGAGAAGTAAGGCCAGGCTCTGGGCCCCAGCGGAGAGAGGCCCTGCTGTTTCCTGAGATAAATTGTGTTGGGGCCCCTATTACAACTTCTGGCCCTCGTTAAAAGGACAACTCTCCATCCACTCCCACTCATCTTCCTCTCCTCTTTCTGTAAGAGCAGCAGGGATGGGCCGATGAGTCCCTACACCTGCCAGGCCTTTGCAGGCAGTGGTATTAGTCCCAGCCTGCTGGGTTCCTAGGAAACTGAATAAGCATCTATGGAGCACTCACTCCATGTCAGGCTCCGCCACCAGCACCCTGGAGACAGAAGACCAAGACATACTTCCCAGCCAAGGGGAGGGTGGAACCTTAGCACACGATGCATTGAGAGCTCGGGATGCATCCAACCCAAAGTGCAGGCTAAAGGTAACTCTCACTGTGTGGGTGGGGTCTTCAGTACAGCTTGCAGTGGAGGCTGCTCTACTGTTTCCCCATCAAGTGTGGTGGGAAAGGGCACAGACTGGACACTCAGAGCTACCGGGGTAAGGAAGCGCTCTTCTATCCCTCATCTGCTAGGAGAATGGCTTAAAAGATGGACTGTATTTAACTTCTTTGAGATGGAGTCTAGCTCTGTCACCCAGGCTGGAGTACAATGGCTCACTGCAACCTCTGCTTCCCTGGATCAAGCAATTCTGCCTCAGCCTCCTGAGCAGCTGAGATTACAGATGCCTGCCACCACACCCAGCTAATTTTTCTATTTTTATTAGAGATGGGGTATGGCCAGGCTGGTCTCCAGCTCTTTACCTCAAGTGATCTCGGCCTCACAAAGTGCTGGGATTACAGGTGTGAGCCACTGCAGCCTGCTATTTATTTTTTGAGATGCAGTCTTGCTCTGTTTCCCAGGCTGGAGTGCAGTGGCACAGTATCAACTCACTGCAATCTCTGCCTGCTGGGTTCAAGTGACTCCCCTGCCTCAGCCTCCTGAGGAGCTGGGACTACAGGCATGAGCCACCATGCCTGGCCAGGAAGTGTCCTTCTGTCCCTCATCTGCTAAGAGCAATGTCTAAAAGATGGGCTTTCGTGGCCTTTCTGCCATCTCTTTCTACTGCATTCTGGTTCTTTTTCAGTATGTAATTTTCAGTAATTAGTAAATTAGCTGATTGACTAAATTAGCTGATTGACTAAATTACTAAACTACAAATTTAGTGATTAGTAATTTTAATAATTTCTGGTTCCCTGCTGAAATCTATAATCTCTGTCTAATAAGCCTACTATCTGAGTCTTGTGGGTCCGTGTCTATTATTGTCTGTCTGTGCTGGTTTTTACACTTAGAATTTTACCTCCCAAAGTGTTTTTTATAACTACGGTGCTCATAATTATATCATCATGCCCAGCATGGAGATGTTCAGTAAGTATACATTTCCAATGTCAAAAATTTTTAATGTGGTAAAACACAAAAAATTTACCACAACCATTTAAAGTACACACTTCAGTGTAAGTACATTCATATTTTGTGCATCCAAACTCTGGAACTCACTAAATCCTGCAAACTGAAACTCTGTCCCCATTAAATAAGCCATTACTGCTCTCTCCCAGCTCCTGGCTGCCACCACTCTACTTTGTGTCTTTGTGAATCTGATTACTCTAGGTCCTTCCCATAAGTGGAATCATACAGTATTTCTCTTTTGTGACTGCCTTATTTCACTATGTCTAATGTCCTCAAGGTTCATCCGTGTGCTGGCATGTGTCAGAATTTCCGTCCTTTTTAAGGCTGAATAATGTTTGACTGTATGGAGAGACCACATTTGTTTATCTGTTGGTGGCACTTGGGCTCCTGCTATTTTTCGGCTCCTATGAATAACTCTGTGCCGAGACCAGCTCAGCCTTGGAGACCCCAACTCATGCGGCACTGAAGGAATTAAGAAACAGACACAGAGATAGCAAAAGGTGGGTTCAGAGTGGAGCACCAGGGGTCTCACAGCATTTCCAGCTGAGAATCCAGAGCAGACTCTGACCTATGTATTTATTCTTGACTTTCCAGTGACAAGTTTTACAAGTGGATGCTCTGTGTTCTTTCATTGGTTAAAGGTAAACTAACCAGGCAGCTAGTGTGTGTTTACTATAGGTTAAAGATGAACTAGAAAGCACTCTTTACGAGGGAACAAAAGAAAGGGTCACACATCCTGTGTTCAAAGAACTAATTCATCTGGCCTGAGGCATAATTATATTGGATACTGTTTTATAATGCTTTGAGCAGTTTGCTGCTTTGGGGGCAGTTTTCCACTTTGCGGGTGCGGACTAGGTTTCCCTTGCCGCTGCTCTCAATAGGATTTCTCAGCAAACAATATGATTTCTCACACATTTCAGAATTTTCTCTCAACAACGCTGCTATGAACATCAGTGTATAAATGTGTGAGGCCTTTTGAATTGTAGGGGGTACATACCCAGAAGTGGAAATGCTGAATTATGTGGTAATTCTTTGTTTTGAGACAGAGTCTCCCTCCGTCACCCAGGGTGGAATGCAGTGGTGCAATCTTGGCTCCCTGCAACCTCTGCCTCCTGAGTTCAAGCGATTCTTAACCCTCAGCCTCCTGAATAGCTGGGATTACAGGCCTGCACCACCACGCCTGGCTCATTGTTGTGTTTTCAGTAGAGATGGATTTCACCACATTGGCCAGACTGGTCTTGAACTCCCAGCCTCAAGTGATTCACCTGCCCCGGCCTCAAAAAGTGCTGGGATTACAAGTGTGTTCCACCATGCCTGGCCTGTTTTTAACTTTTTGATGAAAAGTTTAAACACTGTTTTCCTTAGCTACAGTTCCATTTTAAACTCCCAGTAAGAGTACACAAGGCTTCCGACTGCTCAGCATCCTCGCTAACACTTTATGTGTGGATTACAGAAAATAAATGAGTCTTAATGAGTCTGAGGTGGCCTCTCCATGTAGGTCTTCTTTTTTTGAGATGGAATCTCGCTCTGTCACCCAGGGTGGAATGCAGTGGTGCAATCTTGGCTCACTGCAACCTCCACCCCCAAGGTTCAAGCAGTTCTCCTGCCTCAGCCTCCTGAGCATCTGGGACTTCAGGCACATGGCACCACACCCAGCTAATTTTTCTATTTTTAGTAGAGACGTGGTGCTACTATGTCTGCCAGGCTTGTCTCAAACTCCTGACCTCAGGTGATCCGCCCACCTTGGCATTTCAGAGTGCTGGGATTACAGACGTGAGCCACCAGGCCCAGCCTCTCACGTGGTTTTGGGTTGTTTCCCTAATAGTGATGGTGAGCATCATTTTATGTGCCGATTGGCCATTTGCATCTCTTATATTTGGTGGACTGTCTATTCACGTCCTTTGCGTATTTTTGAACTGCCATAGTTGGGTTTTGTTGTTGCATTGTGAGGGTGCTTTATCTATTCTAGATGGGAACTCATTGACATGTAACTTGCACATCTGTCATTCCGTAGGTTGCCTTTTCAGTCTGTTAACAGTATCCTTCGATGCAATCCAATTTGTCTACTTTTCCTTTTGTCGTTTGGGCCTTTGGTGTCATATCTAAGAAATCATTGCCAAAGGAAGCTCTCCTTCTATGTTTTAAGAATTATCAGCTGGGAACAGTGGCTCCTGCCCATAATCCCAGCACATTGGGAGGCCGAAGGGGATGACTCACAAGATCAGGAGGTCAAGACCAGCCTGATCAAGATGGTAGAGCCCTGTCTCTACTAAAAATACAAAAATTAGCTAGGTGTGGTGATAGGCACTTGTAATCCCAGCTACTTGGCAGGCTGAGGCAGAGAATTGCTTGAACCCAAGAGCTGGAGGTTGCAGTGAGCCAAGATCACGCCACTGCACTCCAGCCTCGGTGTCAGAGTGAGACTCTGTCTCAAAAAAAACAAGAGTTGTATAGCTTCAGATCTTACACTTGGGTCTTTGATTCATTATTGAGGTTTTCTTTTCTTTTTTTTTTTTTTTTTAACATGATATAAGGCTTTCATTTCATTCTTTCGCCTGTGGATATCTGGTTTTCCCACACCATTTGTTGAAAGACTGTCCCTTCCCTGACTGAAAAATCTTGGCATCCTTATTGAACTCATTTGACCACGTGTGTAAGGGTTTCCTTTTGTACTCTGTATTCCATTCCACTGGTCTTTATTGTATGTCTTTACTGCCGTACTACACTGTCAACCACTGTAGCTTTTTTTTTTTTTGAGACAGAGTCTCGCTCTGTCACCAGGCTGGAGTGCAGTGGCACAATGTCGGCTCACTGCAACCTCTGCCTCCTGGGTTCAAGGGATTCTTCTGCCTCAGCCTCCCGAGTAGCTTGGACTACAGGCGTGTGCCACCACACCTGGCTAATTTTTGTATTTTTAATAGAGATGAGGTTTCATCATGTTGGCCAGGATGGCCTTGATCTCTTGACCTTGTGATCTGCCCACCTTGGCCTCCCAAAATGCTGGGATTATAGGCTTGAGCCACCATGCCCAGCCCACTGTAGCTTTTAATAATACATTTTGAAATTGAGAAGTAAAAGACTTCCGACTATGTTACTTTTTCAAGATTTCTTTGGCCATTTGGGATCTCTTGAAATTGGTATAAACTTTACACAATTTATAAGGATGGATTTTTCTATAATTGAAGAAAAAATGTCACTGAGATTTTGAGAGCAATTAAACTAAACCTGTAGATCACTTTGAGTCGTATTGACATCTTTAACAAAACTAAGCCTTTTAGTATGTATGAGATGCCTTTACATTTGTTACACAACCGGTCTCTGGAACTCAAAATCCTGCCAGAGTCTTTGCCTCCTGGTTCAGTTTATTCCTATTTTATTCTTTTTGATGCTATTGTAAACTGACTTTTTTCTTTTTTTTTAGGTTAGTGTCTCACTATGTTGCCCAGGCTAGGGTACAGTGGCTATTCACAGGCGTAATAAAAACTGACAGCATTGATCTCCCAGGCTCAAGCGATTCTCCTACCTCACCCTCCCAAGTAGCTGGGACTATAGGCGTCCACAACCAAGCCAGCAGGAACGGTTTTCTTAATTTCCTTCTTGGATTGTTGACTGTTAGTGTGTAGAAATGCAACTGACTTTAGTATGTTGATTTCGTAATCCTGAAACTTGGACAAATTATTAGTTCTAACAGTTTATTTTGTGCAGTCTTCAGAATTTTCTATAAAGATGATCATGTCATTTGTTAACAGAGAAAATTTTACTTCTTCTTTCAATTTCGATGCCTTTTCTTTTTCCTTTCTTTATTAATAGCTCTGGCTAGGATTTCCAGTATTATGAAAGCAGGCATCATTGTTTTATTCCTCATCTTGGAAACCTTTGTCTCTCATCATTGAGAATGATACTAGCTGGCGGTTGTTCATATGACCTTTATTACATTGAGGTTGTTTTGATTTCTATTCAGTATGTTTTTAATCACGAAAGGATAATTAAACTTTATTAAATGCTTTTCTGTACTAATTGAAACAAATTGTCATGTGTTTTCTTTCTTCATTCTGTTATTGTGATATCTTACCCTAATGTTTATATGGTAACCACCTTTCCATGCCAGGAATAAATCTTACTTGATCATGTTATATAATCCTTCTATGATGCTGTTGAATTCTCATTAGTATTTTCTTGAGCACTTTTGCATCTGTATTGATCAGGAATAGTGGCGTGCTTTCTTCTGCTGCTTTTCTTTGGTATCAGTAAGGCTGGACTCACAGAATGAGTTTGGAGGTATTCTTTCTTCAGTATTTTGGAAGAAGATGAGCAGCATTGGTATTGATTCTGTAAATGTTTGGTACAAGTCACCCATGAAGCCATCTGTTCTTGTACTTTCTTGTCAAGTTTTTGGTCACTGATTCATCTTCTATTTCATTTATTTCTGTTCTAACCTTTAGTATTCCTTCTTTCCTTCTCCTAGCTTTGGGTTAAGGCTGTTCTTCTCTAAATAAGGTACAAAGTTAGGATTGCAGTTTGAGAGCTTTTTCTTTTTCTTTTATTTGAGAGAGGGTCTTGCCACTTGCTTAGTCTCAAACTCCTGGGTTCAAGCAATCTCCTGGCCTCAGCCTTCCAAGTAGGTGGGATTATAGAACAGTGTCACTATGCTGGCTGCCACTTCTTTTTTTTGTGGGAGTGGGGGGAAATGGAGTCTAGCTGTGTCTCCCAGGCTGGAGTGTAGTGGTACAATCTTGGCTCACTGCAATCTCCTCATGGGTTCAAATGATTCTCCTGCCTCAGCCTCCCAAGTAGCTGAGACTACAGGTGCTTGCCACCACACCTGGCTATTTTTATGTTTTTAGTAGAGATGGGGTTTCCCCATGTTAGCCAGGCTGGTCTTAAAGTCCTGAAATCAGGTTATCTGCCTGTCTTGGCCTTCCAGAGTGCTGGGATTACAGATGTGAGCAACCACCTCCAGCCAGATTTTTTTTTAATGTAAGCATGTACAGCTATATATTTCCCTCATAGCACTGCTTTTGCTGCATCCCATAAGATTTGATACATTGTTTTGTCTCAAAATGCTTTATAATTTTCCTTATTATTTTTCATTGATCCATAGTTTTGTAGTATGTTGTTGAGTTTTCATAGATTTGTGAATATTCCAGTTTTCCTTCTGCTATTATGATTTCAGTCCTTCAAAATGTATTAAATCTTGCTTTCAGGCCTAATATATGATCTTTCCCAGAGAACATTCCACATGTACTTTGAAGAATGTGTATTCTGCTGCTGGGTGAACTCATCTGTGTATGTCGGGAAGGTCCAATTTGTCTATAGTATCATTCAAGCTCTCTGTTTCCTTCTTGATCTTCTGTCTGGGTGTTGTATCCATTATTGAAAGTCAGTTATTGGGCCAGGCACAGAGGCTCATGCCTGTAATCCCAGCATTTTGGGAGGCCAAGGTCGGTGGATCACTTGAGGTCAGGAGTTCAAGATCAGCCTGGCCAACGTGGTGAATCCCTGTATCTACTAAAAATAGCTGGGCATGGTGCCATACTCCTGTAATCCCAGCTACTCTGAGGCTGAGGCACGGGAATCACTTGAATTCAGGAGGTTGCAGCTGCACTCCAGCCTGGGAAACAAAGATTATCTCTGGGGAAAAAAAAAGTGAGGTGTTGAAATTTCCTACAATTTTCATAGAACTGTCTGTTTCTCCTTTCATTCTGTCAGTGTTTGCATTATATATTTAGGAGTTCTGAGGTGCGTTGCATGTACCTTTGTAACTGTTGCATCTTTTTGATGGACTATTATCTCTTACAACCGCTTTTGACCTTAAGCCTATTTAGTCTGAGATTAATCTAGCTCCTCTTCCTTTTTTTAGTTACCATTTCCATGGAGTATCTTTTTTCATCCTATGTGTAAGTCTCTTACTGTCTTTAGATTGTGGAAATAATTTGTATTTTTAAAGATTATCATCTGATGAAACTCAATAGCCTGGTGGGTGACTGTGCCATGAGGCCCTCAGCCAGGGACTAAGGTGAGCAGTTGTTCTGGGAGGACCCCAGCACACCATTTATGGGGCCCGTGCCACTCTGTGGATTGTTTTCTGCATGGCTTATGGTTTGTTTTCTCTCTCAATTCCTTCCTTCTGCCTTCCTTTGTGTTTGATTTTTTTTGTGACACACTTAGAATGCCTTCTCACTTCCTTTTGTGTACATTCTATAGATATTTTCTTTGTAATTACCATGAGGATTATATAAAACATCCCAAAGTTATAGCAGTTGATTTTAAACTAGTAAGTTCAATCACATACAAATACTGTACTCCTTGACAGCTCTGCCCCATCCTGTGTTGTTGATGCTACAAAGTGTATCTATATTTTAGAGAGAGAGTCTCACTCTGTCACCCAGGCTAGAGTGCTGTGTCACTGTCATAGCTCATTGTAACCTGAAGCCCCTGGACTGAAGCGATCCTCCATAGCTGAGAGTACAGGTGCACTCCACCATGCCTAATTTTTTTAAAATAAATTACATATTTAACATAGGCTTATGGTTACACATCTCTTTTAAATCCAATAAAATAATTAAAATCAGAGATGTGAATCAAAATTCCAACAATTACAGGTCTTTATATGTGGCTTCAAATGTCTACCTAGCATCTTTTTGTTTTGACTTGAAGGACTCCCCTTAGCATTTCTTGCAGGACAGGTCCCAATGTAATGAACTATCTCAGCTTTGGTTTATCTGAGAATGCCTTAATTTCTCTGGTCAGGTGCTAGGTGGAAGGATCACATGAGGTCAGGAGCTCGAGACCAGGCTGGCCAACATGGTGAAACCCCATCTCTACTAAAAATACAAAAACATGGTGGTGGACGTCTGTAATCCCAGCTACTTGGGAGCCTGCACCACCGTACTCCAGCCTGGAGGACAGAGCAAGACCCTATCTCAAAAAGACAATAAAAAGTGTCTTAATATTATTTTTTTCTTATGAGAGTTCATAAGATACCTTTATTTTGTAAGTTACAACCACCTTTAAATTTGTCCTTCAAATGTTAACTGTAATTGGTGACTGCTTTTCTTAAATACTTCACTGGTGTCCAAGAGAGGGGAAGAATTTAGCCCTTGATTTAAAATAAACCCAGCCAGACACGGTGGCTCACACCTATAATCCCAGCCCTTTGGGAGGACGAGGCAGATGGATCATGAGGTCTGACATTTGAGACCATCCTGGCCAACATGGTGCAACCCCGTCTCCACTAAAAACACAAAAAAATTAGCGGGGCGTGGTGGCACATGCCTGTAATCCCAGCTCTTCAGGAGGCTGAGGCAGAAGAATTGCTGGAACGCAGGAGGAGAAGGTTGCAGTGAGCTGAGATTGCTCCACTGCACTTAAGCCTGGGTGAAAGAGCAAGACTTCCTCTCAAATAAATAAATAAACCCTAAGAGGAAGACAGAGGACCTTAACTTCAGATAATACTCCATTGTTACCCTGTGGCTATAAATCTTCTGAGTTGCCTGTCCTCCCAGATGTTCTGTTAATCGCTGTAGTAGCTGACAGTTTTGTATTTACACAGTCAGAACAATGAGCGCTTCTGCTTGATTCCAGATTCTCCAAGCTTCCCGTGGAGCCACACCACCTCCTGTCTTGGCACTTCATGAGTCCAATGCTGCTTCCCGAGAGGCTCTGGTTGGTAGACCGTGACCTTGATTCCTGCCTGTAAGCCTCGCTTTTTTCCTCAGCAGCCACCACCTTTTTGGCACTAGAACAGTGCTTATAGTGCACTCATCAGTGGATGCTGAAATCACAACCTGGCCATTTGGATGTTCAACTAATGCTTTATGTTACAGAGTCCCTGCAACTCAGCAACCTGTGCCGGAACTCACTGGCGCTCAGGTGTGTAGCAGTACCTTGTTTCTCTATGGCTGGGAGTGAAAACATTGTTCATGTGTTTATTTCCCATTTTTTACTTTGAAGGTTTTGTTTTGTGAGACAAGGCCTCACTCTGTCATGCGGCCAGGAGTGTAGTCATGGCTCACTGCAGCCTTGACCTCCCAAGTTCAAGCCATCTCACCTCAGCCTCCCAAAGTGCTAGGAATACAAGCATGAGCCACTGCACCTGGCCTACTTTTGAGCTTTGAGTTTTTCATTTATTCTAGAGATGAGTCTCTGGAGATGAGTCCCTGGTCCGATAGGCAGTTTGTAAACATTTTTCTCAATATGTAGCTTGTCTTTCCATCCTGCTAATTGAGTCTTTCAGAGAGCAAAAATGTGGTCTCCCTTGCAGATACTCTGCCCCTGTAGCAGGAAAGCAGACACAGACAGCACGTAAATGAACATGCGGATATGTCCCTTGAGTAAGTGTCCATTTGTGGTAAAGAGATCTCTAGACAGATCAGTGCGGAGAGGTTATTTCATTCAGTAATAGTTAAGCTGGATGTAAACTCTAACCTCATGCTTACTTTCCCTTATTCCACTGTCTTCCATTGCTGCTGGTGGGAAAGCAGTTGTCAACACGTTCTTCCTTCTCTCCACCCTCCTCAGGAGCTTTTAGGACGTGTTCTTTGTCTTTTCTGCAATTGTGTTTTTTTTTTTTTTTTTTTTTTT